ACACCCAGCTGATTTTTTGTATTTTAGTAGAGACGGGGTTTCACCGTGTTGTCCAGGCTGGTCTCAAACTCCTGAGCTCAGGAAATCTGCCCACCTTGCCCTCCCAAAGTGCTGGGATTACAGGCCTGAGCCACCGAGCCCAGCTTCTTTTCTTTTTCTTTTTTTTTTTCTATATGAGACGGGTTTCACCACGTTAGCCAGGCTGGTCTCAAACTCCTGACCTCGGGTGATCTGTCCTCCTCAGCCTCCCAAAGTGCTGGGCTTACAGGCGTGAGTTACCGCGCTGGCTCTTTTTCTTTTTAGAGTGCAGTGGTGCGATCATAGCTCCCTGCAGCCTCAAACTCCTGGCCTCAAGTGATCCTCCCAGCTCAGCCTCTCCAAAACAGTGGAGGCGTGCCTCACCTTACCCAGCCAAGGTATCATTTTATTTATTTATTTATTTATTCATTTCCGAGACGGAGTCTTGCTTTGTCGCCCAGGCTGGAGTGCAGTGGTACAATCTTGGCTCACTGCAACCTCAACCTGCTGAATTCAAGCAATTCTCCTGCCTCAACCTCCTGAGTAGCTGGGATTACAGGCACCTGCCACCATGCCCAGCTAATTTTTTTTTTTAATTAAAAAAATTTTTTTTAGGGTTTCACCATGCTGGCCAGGCTGATCTCAAACTTCTGACCTCATGATCCGCCTGCCTCAGCCTCCCAAGGTGCTGGGATTACAGACATGAGCCACCATACCCAGACCCCTAGGTACCAATTATTAACCCCATTTTACAGATGAGTAAACAAACGTGCAGACTAGGCTTGTCTAAGGGCACACGGCTAACCATGGGATAGAGCCAAGCTTTAGACCCAGGAAGTCCAGTTCCAGAGCCTACGCCTTTAACCATTAACTAACTAAGCCAATGGTTGCATGCTAATGGGGGCAAATAATGGAGAAGTAAACAAATAAAAAAGATGCTGGGTTGGATGGCTCATGCCTGTAATCCCAGCACTTTGGGAGGCCGAGGCAAGCAGATCACTTGAGGTCAGGAGTTTGAGACCAGCCTGGCTAACGTGGTGAAACCCTGTCTCTACTAAAAATATAAAAAATTAGCTGAGCCTGGTGTCATGCGCCTGTAATCCCAGCTACTCGGGAGGCTGAGGCAGGAGAATCACTTGAACCCAGGAGGTGGAGGTTGCAATGAGCCGAGATTGTGCCACTGCACTCCAGCCTGGGTGACAGACTGAGACCCTGTCTCAAAAAACCAAAAACAACAAAAAACAAACACACTTTTGGTTAGGGAATGCTATGAAGAAAGTAAAATAAAATCAGGGCAATGGGATAAAGGAGAAGGAGAGATGTGTGGTGCTGTGGACAGGATGTGTACTGACCTGGCCTGCCGAAAACCCAGCCCCTCCATTGCACAGACCTTCCAGAAAGTGCAGGCGATTGCATTCTCAGCACTGGGCCTGGGCCAAAGTAGGCACTAATAACTGTTAGGGAAGGGAGGGAGGAGTGAGGAGGGAGGAGGGAGAGAGGGAGGAAGGGAGGAGGGAGGAGGGAGAGAGGGAGGAGGGAGAGAGGGAGGAAGGGAGGAGGGAGGAGGAGGGAGGGAGGAATCGTTGATAAGTGCTCCCACACATGGAGTGGCCAAATCTTTGCCAGTGTTTGGCCAGCTGTGCTTAGAATGAGCCCTGGGACTGGGATCAGCTGGACAGGCCACGGGGAGAAATCTTTCACTATTCACTAGCAGCGTGACCTCCAGCAAGGCACTCATTGAGCCTTCATTTTCTTTCTTTGGAGAATGGGGAGCCAACAATATGCCAAGTGCCTGACTCTGGGCTAAGCCCTTCCACACATGGGGTGCTCTCACCCTCCTCCTTTTTCCTTTTCTTATTTTATTTTTTATTTTTATTTTTGAGACGGAGTCTTGATTTGTCGCCCAGGCTGGAGGGCAGTGGCGCAATCTCGGCTCACTGCAACCTCCACCCCCCCACCGCCGCTCCCCGCTCAAGCGATTCTCCTGCCTCGGCCTCCTGGATAACTGGGATTACAGGCGCCAGCCACCACACCCAGCTAATTTTTTGTATTTTTACTAGAGATGGGTTTCACCATTTTGGCCAGGCTGGTTGTGAACTCCTGACCTCAGGTGATCCACCCGCCTTGGCCTCCCAGAGTGCTGGGATTATGGGCTTGAGCCACTGAGCCTGGCTTTTTTAAAAAATATACATTTTATGTATTTATATATTTTTAGAGATGAGTCTTGCACTGTTGCCGAAGATGGAATGCAGTGGGGTGTGATCATGGCTGACTGCACCCTTGACCTCCTGGGTTGAGGTCATCCTCCTGCCTTGGCCTCCCAAAGTACTGGAATGACAGGTGTGAGTGACCACACCTGGCCTCTTAATTTTTTTTTTTTTTTTTTTTTTTTTGAGACGGAGTTTTGCTCTTGTTGCCCAGGCTGGAGTGCAATGGTGCGATCTCAGCTCACTGCAACCTCTGCCTCCTGGGTTTAAGTGATTAGGAGAATCACTGCCTCAGTCTCCCAAGTAGCTGGGATTACAGACACGCACCACCGTACCTGGCTAATTTTGTATTTTTAGTAGAGATGGGGTTTCTCCATGTTGACCAGGCTGGTCCTGAACTCCTGACCTCAGGTGATCCGCCTATCTCAGCCTCCCAAAGTGCTGGGATTACAGGCCCGACTCACCACGCCACGCCCTTTTTTTTTTTTTTAAGACAGGGTCTTTCGGGCTGGGTGCACTGGCTCATGCCTGTAATCCCAGCACTTTTGGAGGCCAAGGCAGGCAGATCACAGGGTCAGAAGATCGAGGCAGGCCTGGCCAAGATGATGAAACCCCGTCTCTACTAAAAATACAAAAATTAGCTGGGCGTGGTGGCGCATGCCACTCGGGAGGCTGAGGCAGGAAAATCGCTTGATCCCGGGAGGTGGAGGTTGCAGTAAGCCAAGATCACACCACTGCACTCTAGCCTGTACAACAGAGGGAGACTCCATCTCAAAAAAAAAAACAAAACAACAGAAAAAAAAAAAAAAAATACCAGGGTCTTGCTCTATTGCCAAAGCTGGTCTTAAACTCCTAGCCTCAGGCAATCCTCCCACCTTACCCACCCAGAGCCCTGGAATCACAGGCAGGAGCTACCGTGCTAGGCCGATCTTTGCTTAATTTAAGATTATTTTCCTCTTTCTGTTATCACCTGGTCTGTTATTATTACCCCCAACTCTGTTTTCATTCAATATCCTGTCTTCATTTTCATTTCCTGGGCGTTAAGGAACTCATCCGTCACCCAAATCTGGGAAAACAAAGGCTAAATTCAATTCTGGCTCAGGCAAGGGAGAAACACAAGCAGAAGTTCACCTTCTTCTGTTTTTATTTTTGTTTTGAAACACAGTCTCGTTTTGTCACTGAGGCTGGAATGCAGTGGCTCAATCTTGGCTCACTGCAACCTCCGCCTCCTGAGTTCAAGCGATTCTCCTGCCTCAGCCTCCTGAGTAGCTGGGATTACAGGCACTTGCCACCACACCTGGTTAATCTTTGTATTTTTAGTAGAGAAGGGATTTCACCATGTTAGCCAGGCTGGTCTCGAGCTCCTAACCTCAGGTGATCTGCCTGCCTCGGCCTCCCAAAGTGCTGGTGCTCAGACTACAGGCATGAGCCACCACGCTCGGCCTCATTATGTCTTCTGTCTCAGTATGTCCGTATTTTGAAATACATATTATTTTATTTTATTTTTTTATTTTTTATTTTTTTTGGGGACGGAGTTTCGCTCTTGTTACCCAGGCTGGAGTGCAATGGCGCGATCTCGGCTCACCGCAACTTCCGCATCCTGGGTTCAGGCAATTCTCCTGCCTCAGCCTCCTGAGTAGCTGGGATTACAGGCACGCACCACCATGCCCAGCTAATTTTTTGTATTTTTAGTAGAGACGGGGTTTCACCATGTTGACCAGGATGGTCTCGATCTTTTGACCTCGTGATCCACCCCCCTCGGCCTCCCAAAGTCCTGGGATTACAGGCTTGAGCCACCGCGCCCGGCCCGTATTATTTTATTATAATTTGTTTTTGAGACAGGGTCTTGCTCTGTCATCAGGCAGTGTGGCAAGTGTCTTTCAAACATTATCTCATTTGATGCTCTCCCCAACTCTAGGAAGAAGATACAATTATTATTATTCTTGTTTTACAGAATTGGAAACCAAGGCACAGAGAGGTGAAGGGACTCACCCAACGTCACACGGAAAGTTGTGGGTCAGGGGTTTGAACTGAGGGCATCTGCCTCCAGACCCTGAACTCTCCAACCGTCTGCCACCCTCCTCTGAGGTGAGGAAGATTTCATTACTGAGAACCCTGTTTCAGGATACTAAGGGGTTTTCCAAGACGTTTCTTAGGAAAAAAAAAAAAAAAAAAAGGCGGCGGGGGGGGGGGCAGTGTGTGGCTCATGCCTGTAATCCCAGAACTTTGGGAGGCCGAGGTGAGTATATCACTTGACGTCTCAGAAGTTTGAGACCAGCCTGGCCAACATACCCTGTCTCTACTAAAAATACAAAAATTGGCCAGGTGTGGTGGCAGGTGCCTGTAATCCCAGCTACTCGGGAGGCTGATGCAGGAGAATCGCTTGAACCTGGGAGGAGGAGGTTGCAGTGAGCCGAGACTGCACCACCGCACTCCAGTCTGGGTAACAGACTTCGTCTCGAAGAAGAAAAAAAAACAAGATGTTGAGTGTGACTGGATGGAAACTGCCAACTTGCCCCGGCACAGGGTGTGCTCCCCCTCCTTCCTCACGTCCTGCGTCTCACCAAGAATTCTGGTGCTGGGGTTAGCTGTGTGGCCATCACCCCAGGCCCAGGTGAAGCCCTTGATCAGATGACGCCATGATCCCAAGGAGTGTTTGAGCCCAGATCCAGCCTCTTCCCTGCTCCCCGCCTAGAGGCGGGACCTCCTCTATGGAAAATATCCAGCTGGGCGAGCCTGGGAGAGAGGAGGCAGAGTGGGGCTGGACTCAGGGACCAACTCTTCCCCTCTCGTGACTGTGTTTACCGGCAGGATTCTGGAAAGGGGCCAGATTGCATCAGACAGGGCCTGATGGGCAGGAGCCAGACTGTGGTCTGAGGAGGAGACACGGCCTTATAAGCGGAGGGAGTGGACTGGGAGTGGAGAGGCACGGGCCCAGGAAAGCAGAGACAGACAAAGCATCAGGAGAAGAGAGGCCGGGAGGACAAGCCAGGCATGATGGCCAGCTTCCCGCCAGCAGCCAGCGCCCCCCAGCAGCCCCCAGCCCCAGAGGACGAGGACCCCAGCCTGGATGAATCTGACCTCTACAGCCTGGCCCATTCCTACCTGGGTAAGGCCTACTTGGCCATCTCCACGGTCCTTCCTCCTCTCCCGAAATCAGGACCCCTCCATGGACTTCCCACCTCCCTTTCCCCTTCCTCTCTTCCTCTCTTTCTTTCTCTCCTCACTCTTTTTTTTTGAGAGTGTCGCTCTGTCACCCAGGCTGGAGTGCAGTGGTGTGATCACAACTCACTGCAGCCTCGAACTCCTGGGCTCATGTGATCCTCCTGCTTCAATCTCCCAAGTACCTGGAACTTCAGGTGTGCAGCACCTGTAGTGGGGAGATGGGGTCTCACTGTGTTGCCCAGGCCGATCTCGAACCCCAGGGCTCAAGCAATTCTCCTGCCTTGGCCACCCAAAGCGCTGAGATTATAGGAGTGAGCCACCATGCCCAGCCCACTCACCCTTTTCTAGCCAAGTTGTTCCTTTGATCCTCAGGTCACCCCTCTCTAGTCCCTCATCCCCAGAGTGCTATCTTACTCAGCCTGGGACCTCACACACATCCGGGGAAGCAACAGGCTTCCCCCTGCTCGCTCCATCCCCGCAACCCTGAATCCCTGCCTCTCCTCCGAGGCCTCTCATCCTGCCTCTGTCCATTTCACCTCTGACTCCTGCCTTGGTGACAGGAGGCAGAGGCCGGAAAGGTCGCTCCAAGAGAGAAGCTGCTGCCAACACCAACCGCCCCAGCCCTGGCGGGCACGAAAGGAAGCTGGTGACCAAGCTGCAGAATTCAGAAAGGAAGAAGCGAGGGGCCAGGTGCTGAGACAGAGCTGGAGGTAAGGAGTCCGGGGACCCAGAGAGCCCAAGCCGGTGCCTCTGCCATGAAGGACAGGCCAGAATGTGTGCGGTTGGGTGCGGAGGAGGGATCAGACAACTGTTGTCTCAATGCAGAATAAAATGAGACATATGTTTGGCTGTGAGTTTCCTAGCAGCCAGAGCAAAGGGGGAACACAGAACCTTTCCAATTAAAGGGAAATTTGATTTACAGAGACAGAAACTGGGGCCAAAGAGGGTGGGTGCTTCCCTGGAGTCACACGTTGAGTGGAAGAGGTAGAATTAGAAACCAGGTCTCTGTCCCTTTCACCACCTGCTTTTCCTCACCCCCCAGATGAGGCCAGACCACGGACACTACACCCAGCAATGGAGACGGGACTGTGGAGGAAGGAGGACCCAGGACAGGATCCAGGCCGGCTTGCCACACCCCCCACCCCTAGGACTTACCCCACTGACTGAGTCTCTGAGGGGCTACCAGGAAAGCACCTCCAACCCCAGCAAAAGTACAAGATGGCGAGTGAGAGGCAGGGAATGGAGGGGCAGAGCCAGGAAGATACTCCTGGAAAAGAAAGCTACAGAAGAAACTGGGGCTCCTCCAGGGTGGCAGCAACAATAAATAGATGAGCACAGCAACCGAAGCTTGGGTGTGTGTTTTGCTCGGGCACGTGCATGCCTGCCTGTACCTGCGCATGCATGAACGCGGGAGAGCCTCTTGGATGTGTGTTTGTATTTGGTGTGTGTGTCAGGGGCAGGGAGTGTTCCTGCTTTTGGAGGAGCCTATGCTGTGAGTGTGGCTTTTGGTTGGTTTACGCGTGCACATATTTTAGTGCATACATTTCTGTGGACTCCTACATAATGGAAAAGAATTTCTTCTGCTTTTTTGTGATACTGCCCATGAAACATGGCTTTCCCCAACACCTATCTGTTTTTGTTGATTATGTCCTGTTCATAGAAAACCATCTTTTTCAATCTGAAAAAAAAAAGAAAAAATAAAAAAATAATAATTAAAACCAACAACAAAAAAACACTTTTTGAGGCTGGGCATGGTGGCTCACGCCTGTAATCCTAGCACTTTGGGAGGCCGAGGAGGGCAGATCCTCTGAGGTCGGGAGTTTGAGACCAGCCTGACCAACATGGAGAAACCCTGTCTCTACTAAAAATACAAAATTAGCTGGGTGTGGTGGCACGTGCCTGTAATCCCAGATAGTCAGGAGGCTGAGGCAGGAGAATCACTTGAATCCTGGAGGTGGAGATTGTGATGAGCTGGGATCACACCATTGCACTCCAGCCTGGGCCACAAGAGCGAACTCTGTCTCAAAATAATGATAATAATAATATCCTGCTGAACACTCTCGAGAGAAAGAAAACAGTAATAATAATAAACAGAAAACCACCTTTTGATGGGAATGCTACTTATGGATGCCATCTAAAAGATGGAGAAAACTGAGATTTAAAATATTAAAGGCCATGAGCAGTGGCTCATGCCTGTGATCACAGCACTTTAGGAGGCTGAGGTGGGAGGATCACTTGAGCCCAGGAGTTCGAGACCAGCCTGGGCATCATAGTGAGACCCCATCTCTATCAATTTTTTTTTTAGAGAGAGAGTCTTGCTCTGTTGCCCAGGCTAGAGTGTAGTGGTGCCATCTTGGCTCACTGCAACCTCTGCCTCCTGGGTTCAAGAAATTCTTGTGCCTCAGCCCCCTGAGTAGCTGGGACTACAGGTGAGCACCACCACGCCCAGCTAATTTTTGTATTTTTAGTAGAGATGGGGTTTCACCATATTGTCCAGGCTGGTCTCAAACTGTCGCCCTCAGCCTCCCAGCCTTTGGGAGGCCAAGGAGGGAGGACTGCTTGAGGCCAGGAATTCAAAACCAGCCTGGGCAACATAGCAAGACCCTGTTTCTACAAAAAATTTAAAAATTAGCGAAGCCTGGTGGCTCACGCCTGTAGTCCTAGCTGCTCAGAGGCTGAAGTGAAAGGATCCCTCGAACCCAGGAGTTGGCAGGTGCAGTGACCCATGATGGTGCCTCTGCGCTCCAGCATGAGCAACAGAGTGAAAACACGTCTTGAAAAAGAGAGAGAGAAGGAAGGAAGGAAGGAAGGAAGGAAGGAAGGAAGAAAAGAGAGCAAGAAGGAAGAGAGGGAGGGACAGAGGCAGGAAGGGAGGGAGGGAAGGAGGGAAATATTAAGGGATTTGTCCTAACTCACTCAGGGCTCCTATTCAAGGCTCTTACTGTTTTCAACTGCTCTTGTAGTTCTGGGAGGTGAGATGGGGGAGGGAGATTCTTATCCAGTGCTATGTCTCAGGACCAGAGTTGAAGAAGAAGATGGGGCAAACAAGAAGTATGGTTGGAGCTGAGATAATGTATTGATTGAGATAGAGGTTTGGGTTGCTGTTATAAAGAATCAAACAAAACAAGATAGAAAGTTATTCCTCTCTCAGTCAGCCCCAAGTCCTCCTGGGTTCAAATGGCAGCTCCATTGTGTTAAGGATTCCAGCTACTTTGACGCATTGTTTTGCCATATTTAAAACATGGCTTCCATTTTTAGGCCTAAAGTAGCTGCTCCAGTACCTGCCATCAAATCTGCATCTCAGCCTGTGGAAAGGGAGTGTGGAAGAGACAGAGAAGGCCACACCTCTTCAGGGTTTTGTTTGTTTTTTTTTGAGACATAATTTTGATCTTGTTGCCCAGGCTGGAGTGCAGCATCGCAATCTCGGCTCACTGCAACCTCCACTTCCCAGGTTCAAGCGATTCTCCTGCCTCAGCCTCCCAAGTAGCTGGAATTAAAGGCATCCACCACCATGCCCAGCTAATTTTGTATTTTTAGTAGAGACAGGGTTTCTCCATGTTGATCAGGCTGGTCTCGAACTCCCGACCTCAGGTGATCTTCCCGCCTCAGCCTCTCAAAGTGCTGGCATGATTATAGGCATGAGCCACTGTGCCCAGCTGACACCTCTTCAATTTGAGGGCATAACCTAAAAGTAGAACATATCACATCTGCTTGGAATGTGGTTACACGGCCACACCCAACTACAAGAGAAGTTGGGAAATGTAGCATTTAGCTGCTTAGCCACGTGGAAGCCAAAACTTGGGCAAGAAGCTAGCTGGAAACGTTGCCCACATGCAGAATCAGCAGATGTCGGGGGAGAAAACTCTGAGATTGGGGCCTGGGCAGAGCCTGTTTCCTTTTCTCCTGTCCCTTTCATACAAATCCCACACTGCAGAACTTGGAGTCAGTGGTTCTTGGGGACCCAAGGACATCCACAGAGGACCAAGGTAGCTGATAGAGCAGGAACAGATGCACATCAGACTACGACCAGCCTGAAGGCTTGGGGACCTGTATCCATCCCCTTCCCTTGAGTCCCGCCTAATCACAGCAATAGCATGAATCCATGACCGGGAAGGACATTTAAGGATATCTGGCCCAACTCTACCCCATTTAACAGGGGGATCACCTCTGCTTGTTTGAATACCACTGTGGATGGGGAACTGGGTACCTTTGAAGGTTACCTAACTCTTTTTTTTTTTGGAGACAGAGTCTCACTCTGTCGCCCAAGCTGGAGTGCAGTGGTGCGATTTCAACTCACTGCAACCTCCGCCTTCAGGGTTCATTCTCCTGCTTCAGCCTCCCAAATAGCTGGGATTACAGGCATGTGCTACCAGGCCTGGCTAATTTTTGTGTTTTTAGTAGAGACAGGGTTTCACCATGTTGGTCAGGCTGGTCTCGAACTCCTGACCTCAGGTGATCCACCCACCTCAGCCTCCTAAAGTGCTAGGATTACAGTCCTGCCACCATGCCCGGTGAAGGTTGCCTAATTCTATCTCAGGGCAGATCCTTCATGTGGGCTGAAATCTGTCTTTCATACCTGCCCTTAAACAAGCTTCTGTTTTTCTGGTCCTTTCTGTCTGAGGTGACTTCAATTCCTCCCCCAACCCCATCTCATGAGGCTCAGCTCAGGTGTCTCCTTTTCTTCAAAGTCCTCCCGGATGGTTGGGTGCAGAAGCTCATGCCTGCAATCCCAGCACTTTGGGAGGCCAAGGTGGGAGGATCCCTTGAGCCCAGGAGTTCCAGGCCAGCCTGGCAACATAGCAAGACCCTCTCTCAATAAAAAATTAAAAATTAGGGCCGGGCGTGGTGGCTCACGCTTGTAATCCAAGCACTTTGGAGGCCAAGGCGGACGGATCACCTGAAGTCGGGAGTTCAAGACCAGCCTGACCAACATGGTGAAACCCCGTCTTATAA